TTTCAGGAATCGTGGGAATGGGTGGGTGGTGGTTCGGGTGAGAAAGATGAGACGGACGAAATGAAGACAGAAGAGAGTGAAAGATTATCTGTGGAATATTACTGCCTCAGCATTTGCCTAAGTGATCCAAGGAAACCACAGAAAAACTTGGACCAAGGCAGACGGACAGACCCGGAATCGAACCGGCATCCTCCCGAATGCTAAGCAATGGTCTAGACCTCTAGGCCATGCCGCTCGGTACACTATTCGTTATATCTCCAGTTTAAATGATAACTTAGCATTAGCACGAATACTGGTTCAATTACGGAGGTCTAGCAGCAGTTAAGTGATTTCAATTGAACTTTTAGGTATATGCTGGGCAGTAATACTCCACAGTTATTTATCATTCACTTCTCTTATGTGTTAGTTTCGTTCATCTCATATGCGCTTCCGCTCTACTCTCCGGCTTTGCACTAGTGAATAGGTTGGAAAGACTGTCACTAGCTCACCAGCATTAAGAGCTTGTCGAAATTAAACATACAAAGCTTTTTTTACTCCTCAACTAGAATAGTTAATAATAAACATCGGATAACAATTTACGTAAGATCGTAAGTAATTTTAAAAAATAATTTGGTAGAGAAGATAAAAAACACATTCTACTTTAATATAAAATTAAAAGGAAACTGACAAATTGGTGAAACCTTTCAGGGTCAGTAGGTGAACTAATGCTATTCTGATTCAAGTCTGAAGGCCGTTGCCGGTTGGGATTGCTTCCTAACGTTTCGCTAGCATGAGTGGCCCACGTCCAGCATCGTAGATGGAAGGGCCTTCGAAGAAGGTCGCTACTTATGCTAGCGAAACGTTAGGACGACGACGGCCTTTAGACCCGAATCAGAACAGTATCAGTTCAAAGGAAAATGAGTTTTTCATTTGACCATTTTCTTCTTAAACTAAAAGTTATTTTATGTCGACACTTAGAAATCGTAAATGCTAATGTAATTATGGTTATATTGATGTAAAACAAAAATAGTGGTATGTAAGGGAAGAAAAAATATAGGGGGCGAAAGATTAGAAGAAGTGGCTAATTTTAGGTATCCAGGAAGTCATATAAGTCAGGACGGTAGGAGTAGTAGGGATATAAAGCAGGATCGAGTCACCTTCAATAAAAAGAAGTCAGTTCTATGCTCGCGAACGGTCAATTTAGAAATTCCAAAAATATTGTTAATGGTGTATGTTTAGAGCGAAACATCGACGGTGGGCGCGGCGGAAAAGAAAACGTTAGAAGCGTTGGAAATGGATAGAGAAGGTTAGAAATGAAAAGGTAGTAGAAGGAAAAAGAGAACAGAAGACTATGGAAGTCAATAAAAAATAGGCGAGATAGGTTGGTACGACACCTTCTCATGCATAAAGGTCTAGTCAGAGACATATTCGAGGCAAAAACAGGAGTTAAGAAGAGTAGAGGTAGACCTAGATTAGATTACTGTTCGCAAATAGTTAAGGATGTGGGATGTTCTAGTTTTAGAGAATAGCTCAGGATACTAAGGAGTGCAGGTGCGTGTTTAACCAGTCTTAGGACTGACGACCTTATGATGATGATGGTATTGTATTGAGTTTAATGTACTGTTTACTTAATTTCTGGTCCTCTTATACATGAAAGAATTCCAAAGAGGTTCAAGTTTGTACCCTGCTTTCTTTTTCGGTCACGATTGCTGGTATGTCAATGTTACGATTTAATGCAAGTGAAAGCTGTAGACCGGCAACATTTAAAACTGCAAACCGGTGTTGCACATAATGTATACATAATATATTATGGCTATGTTTTATACGAATAAATTATCTTTTTTCTTACGATTTGGGCGTGTTGCTTCTTATTATTTAAAATTTACGTTTCCTTGATATTTAGAACACTTTATGGAGATGCGCTCAGAGAAGTTGCAAAATTCATATTTCTTAGGCCATAATGTATGTAAATTGCGATTGTTGAGTAACAGTTGACAAATGCATAAGTATAAAAACATCTGCCCGACGATAATGTAATACAACTTCTGCAATGTGTATGTGTGCTTTCCAATTGGATTAGCAAGAAGACATAAATTTTATTCTGTGTTACCAAACACTTTCGAACGTTTAAATCACCAAAAACTCGAACTTTTTACACAAAAAAGCATGTGGGCATTCTTTTGATAAACGTTTTAGTCGCGGATGCGTAAGTCGTGTGGCCAGTCGTCCTGCACTCTTTTTTAATTAACATAAAAGAAGAGACCTACAAAACAATATTCCCAAATTACTATGTTTTTACTTGTATGATACGTTTTTGCGACACAAATTTCAAGATTCTACATAAGTTAACTGATGTATATAAATATAGAATTTGTTATGAAATACAGCCTTCCGAAAAATATAATTTCCGAAAAATAGTTTGTCATTTTACGTTAAATTTGCAGATTTATGTGATACCTACACACCTGTCTCTTAAACAGGTGAAACTATCTAGCAGATACAGCTAATAAATCATTCATTTTGAAAAGATTTAACTGCTCATAAAATAATTATACAATTAAACTCACAAACCTAGTATGTTTTATTATCACTGCTATTTATTAAAAAGAATTTCGTGAAACATCCGCACATCACATAATAAAGCAAAACTATTATGTTTATGTGCTTATATTTATTATCCAGAGGCCTAAGGTACAGTATACAAAAATTACACAGGTTGCGAAATTTTTTTTTGAAAAGTTTTTTTCTTAAATTGTTAATATTTGTCGTAATTGTCTTAAAAGTAATAGAAAACGATATTCATATGGTGTATACCACGTCACATTAACCCATAAATGCTCAGAGAACACATTTCCATTTGAACCCTTGCCACGTAATGAGTGCGACGAAAAAATATTCGATAACCAGTGTTTCTATGTTTTTAACGATGCTCTTTTCGATGGTGTTGGTTAAAAATACCTCCGACAATATTAAAGCATTGAAAAATCGAAAATAAACAAAAAAAACGTGATTTTTAAATTGACTTTTTTCTTAAAAAGTAATTTTTTGTGTCCTTACGATTTTTTTATATGCTTAAAACCTATATAAATCATGACCTCGATATCTAAACATGAAATAATCACCGTTGGTCAAGTCAAAATGCCTTAACAAACTGTTTGATTAAACCAAGTTTAATGTAAAGTGGTGGAAGCAATACTTTCTTCTTTCAAACTCGTATTGGTGATATTTTTCACTCAGACTTGCAATTGCATTCTAATTTGGACAGAAATGCCGAATAACAATGATTTTGATTTACCATAAGTTCACTGTCTTAACACTTCAACACATAACCGGCATATTTTATCGTAACCTATTGTTTATCTTGGTGACACAACTTTATTCTGAAGTAAGCTTAATAAGCATTTTTTACAAAGTCTGTTATATTCAATCTTTGCTTAACTATTGTATATTGTCCGCAAATGTAAAAAAATACATTTGAATTAGTTTTACAGAAGCCATAGTTAAAGATAAATGAAACACAATCTTTTATTACACGTTAATATTATATCTCTCTCAATAATGGCGCGCTATAAACTATTTCTTTTTTAGGCGGTGTAAACGACTATAGTTACTTTCAAACTATCTAAAATAAAGTAAAAGACAATATAATGCTCAGTCAGTGAGTATTAAATAGAAATGTAAACTGCAAAATGAATTTTGTACATACAAAAAAAAGTGTGACGTGATACGTCAAAACAAAGTTTATATTTTCAAAATATAGACCAACATTTGCATGCTTAAGATAAATTTATACAAAAAACTTTTTTATCGCAGACCTGTGTTATTGATGTAGTGTGTAAAAAATGGGCTCATATGTTTACGAAACATTTTCCTTAGCTATTTTAACACAACAGACACTGGATAGTGTGAACATCGCATAACGGAAACCCCGCATCATAGAATGTTTTTGACTTACTTCAACCTGTCTTCAACTGATATGATTTTCAATGCTTATCATTATTCTCATTTATCAACATTTTGGATATTCTGCAAAAAAGACATGTAAAGGTATCCCTGGATTTCAAAAATACTTTTCCCGACAACTTTTATTTGAGCCCTATTATTCCAAAAGACAGTAATCATTTGAACGTTCGTAATAAAAAATAATGGTAACGAGAGAGTAAACCAGAAGTCACGCAGATATTTCGATTGCCGGACGATTTTACGCAAACCTTGGAGTCGTGGAGTCTTGTTGATTGAAAATTACCGCTATTGATGGTCTCCTTGGGCAATTTCTACTTTTAAATCCGCGCTGATTATACTAATAAACAACACGATCTTCCTATTCCAGTCGATGATTCAGATATAGAAATTGGTATTCACTAAAAGACGTTCGAAGAATCGTACAAATTACGGAAAGTATGGCCTACGCTATACGATAGGTACCAACTCGTCGTTATCCATCCTCAACAACCTTCTGCTAAGTATAATACGATGAGTGTAACAGGTTAAGTAATTGCTACAAGCTGATTTTTATAAAATATAAATGCTATCACGATTCTGCACCGTGATAACGCAATCAATATTTCAAGTAAGTGACAAAAGATTGGAATGTGCCAACGGCGATATATCAAAGAAAAACAGAAAATATTTAATGAATGAGTGTGAGCGAATATAGTTCATGAACGAGAGTGACTACCAGTTGTATCATCATTTTAAGTTTTTCGAATGCAAAGTGAGTACATAATAAATTGACTATTGAAATAGGTAA